AAAAATATGATGGCTGTCTATGCTATCTGAAATTAGCCAGGTAAAAAAGTAGCAATTCTATTTTAGTATAACATTGTTTGTTTATATCTGATTAGGAAAACTCTTAATAAAGTAGTACTCCGATATTTCTATAGTAAACTAAAAAACTATTATATTTGTTCCTAACTGGAAAGACAATGCTCAAACCGATGTGTAAAATACGGTAGGTAAAAAAAAAAAAAAAAAAATAGAATCAGTGGCCATTTTGTTCTCCCTTGTGATGATAGGAAAGAAAGAGAATCAATATCAAGAACACAACGTTTAATATAATATAAAACCATAGCGATGGTTATATCATCAGTGCTTAGATGTCATAAATCAAAATGCACACTTCTGCATCAGTCCATAACTTGATTCATGTATTGGCATACAGATTTTATAATTAAGGTGACAATATTTCCTAACAGGTAACTCCATCCATAGTCACTTTGCCTTACTGAATGCATGTTTGCTCAGACAGTAAACCCATTTCCCCCACCCCCAAATAGTCTTAACTTATAGAGCATTTCAGCGTTTGAAATTAACAAAATTGGGTTATGTCTCCTGAGTACTCTACGCTACCAAAAATGCTTCAGCAAGGTGGTGTTTTAGTTTTTGCTAACCCTTCCCATTATGCCTGCAAGAACTTGGATGGGTTTTAATAAATTGGGATGTGGCTGGAAGGCTATAATTGGGGAATTGGTAGAATTGGATACTTCACCTCATTCACTTTTTACTAGCTAACAGCTGTTACTGATTATAGCTTCATAATGAAAAATGATGGGAGAAGCTCACCAACACTGAATTGACTTCAGAAGAAAAACATTTCTGATATAGACAATAGCTCAGCTTATGCCATGCCCAGTTTGGACTAGGTTACAGCTCTAATTATATCGGTACTGGAATTTGATTCTTTCCTTGAAAAACCCCTCAACCCACTTACAAGCTCTCCAGAGCACCTCCTCTGCTACGGGAGTAGTAAGATTAACTGAAGGCTTGGAAAAATCGTCTATGGATAGTGTGACTTAAGATTTTGAGCTTTTCCTCACTAGCATACCTTAGTGCAGTGTTTCTCAGCCTCAGCAACTTTAAGATGTGTGGACTTCCAAGTCCCAGCATGCTGGCTGGGCAATTCTGGGAGTTGAAGTTCACCCATCTTAAAGTTGCTGAGGTTGAAAAGCACTCCCTGACTGGAATCCAGATTGTGCTGTGGCATAAAAATAACAGTTGGCTCACAATGCCTTGTTTTCTCACTCTCCTCTTTCGTTTTTTGCAGGTCTTTTGCAGAATGCAGAAGAGCAGAAAAACTACAGCCTAGGAATACGGCAAAGCCAGTATCCTGAGACAGGGAGGAAAATTGAATGACCAGGCCTTCTGGTGATGCTCTCTATACCAATATAGAAATATTCTTTCCCTTGATTGGATTTTAATCAATATTATACCACTAGTTTTATAAGCCATACAAACTCTTTTCAAGCCAGCAAATAGAAATTGTGGGTTTATCACTGCTGAACACTTTCTTATGGACTGTGCCTAATACCTTTCATCTTTGTTAGCTTCAGCCTAAAAAAATCAGTGTAAAAGATTTAATTGCTGGACACCTGCAGGCTCTTTGGCACCATTGGCCTACTTGCTGATGAAAAGTAATACAGCCCAATGGGGGAACCAGACAAGAATATTTAACTAAATGAAGATACTACTAGATGAGGCATCTCAAGCAAATGCTTCTGCAGAGGGATTTTTCAGGGCACCTTTTCCCAAAGGTTGGCAAAAAGTGCTTTGGTCTTGACTGCATACAGAAAATGGTGATGAATACATTTATTTATAATATTTTTATATTGCCTGAGTATTCACCAAATCTGAACACAAGGGGAGACCAAAAGCGTCTCCTGTTTCAAACAAGCCATAGTTTATTTCATTCAAACCAAAAGCTAACCACAAGCTTTTGATTACTTTTTCACAGCTATTCCAGAGAAGGGAAGAGGGAGGTTTTACAATTATAATAACTGCCCCTGTACATGCAAACCATTTTAGCCCTTCTCATGCAAATATATTCATATGAAAATACAGATTCTTCCCTTCACAATGTAGTTTAAAAATAAGTCCCATTTAGATCCTCCCAAACACTTTATATTAGTACGTTCTGCTGAACTTAATGGAGCTGATTTAATTTACATTCACAACAGCCCAAAACTAAAAAGGGGCAATACATTATTTTGGGGAACAATGTCAGTTAAAAAGAAGATAGATAAGATATGGCTAGATAAGAAGATAGATAAGATATGGCTCTGTGCACTCTCAAAAATATGCTGTCTTTACTGCTTGCTTCAGTTAGGACATTTTCTGGTTCAGCAGTTTTTGATGAGGATCTTTTTTAAATCTAAAGATACCTTTGTAAGAATGGTAGATGCTTTGTCCCATGATAGGTCCATGAAGTGCTAGATAGGGAAATAAGTCTGGCTTTGTGGTAGGTGCATTTGGCCTTTAAAGGTTGCAACAATCCCTTGGCCACTTTGCGCATGTAAAAATAATAAGAGCAATCTTCAATCCCTGTCATATATTTTTTGATAGAAGAACAAATGCTAGTCAGTCTTTGGTTATGGGAACTGTTTTCCTCGCCAAGATTCTACTGATGTAGAAACTTAAAATTTACTCTCAAAGGAATTTGTAGTGAAATTCTTTTATATCCCTCATTAAAACAATGCAATAAAGAGACAACACTCAAAACAATCAAGAATGTCAATGTCTTTAGCAGAATGTGGAAGTGGCAAGATATGATGGTTAATTCTAGATATTTAAGAAAAAAGTTGGCCTTTTATTACAGTTTGCATTTGCATGTAAAAAGTGACAAACTTTGGATTAGATACAGTGCACTACAAAATTCTCTTGTTGCATTCTCTCTCCACAAAATCATACTTTTAAGTTGCAACAAGACAGCTAAAACAGCATACATCACAGTAATATCTTAAATTGCTTTCTATTTTTTAAATCTACATGCATAGAAAAATATGTGGTCATCAAAGAAGAATCTAAGTTACAAAAATAAACCCTGTCACTGATGTTAACTCAGAGAGAAACTTTCAGGAAATATAGGCAGAAAATACTGTTGCTGTTGGTTTGTTAAATATACTTGGCAATTATCACCAACAAAATCCCATGTTTAAACATCTGAAGAAATACTTTGGCACCATTCCTTCTGTAAGTGAGCAGTTTGATAGACAGATTGGAATCAGATTGGCATCAAACCTCAGTATGTTCATTAAGCTTGCAAAAGTTCTGAAATGTAAGAAATAAAGCCATTTTACAGTGTGCATGTGTATATCCATATCTTACTATCTATGGTTATCACTTTGAAAAATGAACTCTCAAACAGGACTAAAATTAAAGCTTCCTATCTACATTCTTATATCAATGAAAGAGAGGCATATACTCTGTTGCAAGAAGAAAACATAAAAGTGTAACACAAACCAGCCTTCCCCAACCTGCTGTCCTCCAGATCCATTGGATTACAGCTTCTATAGTTTCCAGCCAGCAAATGTTCAGAAGACTTCCAGTTCTGGAAGTTGAAGTAGTTGCACATGAAGCCACTGTACAACTAGTGATTGTTTCTTTTTCAATTCTGGCTGTAATTCTTGAGGTTTTCATCATCCACTTGCTAGATACATATATAAGAAACTGAACCTTGGATGTTCCACATACAAAACAAGTTTTCTACTATTGAGCTATTAATGCTTTTGGATGATAATAATCATTATATTGTAAATTTTCCTTAAGGAGTTTTTCTACATGGAAATCCTTTATTGAACATTATTGACTTGCCATTGCATGAGGGCATTTCCACACAAGGATTTTGAGCCACTTTGAAAGCAGTTCCAGGTTTGTTTCCCATAAAGAATTGGATCAATTTATTTTTGGTTCGACTGCAGTTGCGACATAGTTAAACATTCTGTGAAAAGATGTGTTGTGGTGGTAGAGGTATCTGTTGTGTTTTGAGATAATTATTAGAGGAAAATCTTACTTCACCTTCTTAAAAGCTTCAGTCTTGTCAAAAAAATGTTTACTTGACAGTGGTAATGTGGAAATGCCTGAATTTCATGTGAATGAGATAAATCTGGCTTCCTTAGGTACTAAGTATTTCTTCAGCTCACACTGTTGGCCTCTTCATTTATTCAATGAAAAATACTAGATCTTAAATCAAATCCCTAAGTTTGCTCTTGTCTCCTCAATTTGACAGAGAAGCGAAAAACAATGTACTTAGGGTGCAGGCAACTGGTGTTTCTTCTGATGCTTTATGGAAAAACTTCCCATAACACACATACATACATTTATTTATTAATCTAAATAGCTTTGAGGAGGAAGAGTACAGATTTTATTTTGTGTTTGCTTTTTTCAAACAGATATATTTCTAGACCAGTACCTACAACCCCCTCCCAAACCTTCTTTTTGGATCTGAGGAAAGAAACAGTCCAGATTTATTAATAAGGTGAAGGAGAAAAGCAAAACAAACTTTCATCCCTTTCTCCATTTCCCTGTGCACCTTATTTCATGTCACCTTTGTACTATACTTACCACAAGCATTTTTTAACTCTACTGAAGTTTTAATACCGATCAATCAAATGTCTATTTAAATACTGGGTTTGTCTGAAGATGAATATGTAATCAAAATTAGCAGGAGCTTGTGTCTTCTTTGAGCTACCACTGGGATAACTCAGTGAATAGGTTTTACGTATGCTGAGGAAATGATCAGCCACCATATTTCATATCATGAAGTTCAGGTTAGTCAAGGAGTCAAGGGTTAATTGGCTTCCCCAGTTCGCTCCCTGCCAGATTTGAGAACTGCTCAGCAATGATTATGCCAGTGTTTCTTAATGTTGGCAGCTTGAAGATGTGTGGACTTCAACTCCCAGAATTCCCCAGCCATACTGGGAGTTGAAGTCCACACAGCTTCAAGTTGCCAAGGTTGAGAAACACCGGGTTATGCTGACTGCCAATATCTGAGATTTGAAACCTATGATCTGGGGAAAAGGCTGACTTAGAACTTATTTTCAGTAAGATCTTGAATTTTGCAAACAGCTATCAGAATCAGGCAAGCATCATGGATAACTAAATCCAAATCAAGACAGCCTTATTTCATGACATCACTGGCTTCAGCTGGAAACCCTGAACGTGAAGTCATTAACTGTTCTATTTATCAGCTAAGAAATCTATCTTTAGCAGGTCTCACCTTTCATTCCCACCAACTTGCTACCTACCAGTTGGTAGGCAGATCATGTAGCCAACTGTGCTACTGAGTTAATTAATTCACACTTTTTAAACCTATGTCTGTACTCCAGTGCTGTTCTGTGTTGACAACAACTCTTTCTTAAATTTTACACTCCATTTGCTAACTATACACATAAAAATGCATAATAAAATTGTTTGCAAAAATAGTGCACAAAGAAATGTGTCTATAATATATATATATATAAAAAAAATAAGGTAATGCATACATAAATGCATAGGCATTTTCATGTTTGTTTTTTGCTGAAACTGATGGAGAAACAAAATGGAATAAATTTAGCACTGGAAAAATGAGAAATTGAGTGAAATCCAACTTGGCAGACATATAGTACTCACATCAGTTGCAGTGGGCCCTAGCCTTTGATTGGCACTGGGCCTGTTCATTAAGCTAGGTATCTATCTTCATACGTGGTACAAGATCTGGAGTCTCTAACAACAATTTACAATAATCATGATTGTGATAGTTTGATTTGGGAAGGAGGGGATAAACCATGAAGTTAATTCCAAGATTATTGCATGGATATAAGTAACAGCTGCAGTATTATCTGTTCTTATTTTTTGCTGCTAAAGGAAACTTCAAGAGATCCTTATATTTATGCAATGAAAAGCCGAGGACAGAAGTTTGAATGGTTAATCATGATGTGCCCTCCATTCTGTAATACATCTAAACAAATGTCACTAAGTTTCTTAACTTTGGTTGATCAAAGTTAAGTAGCTTCAGTGGGAAAGGCATAATAGTTGGGTTTGTTTGCTTGTTTGTTTGTTTTGAATAACAGGAATGTTTATGGTAATAAGACAATGGAGAAAAAGAAGGCAACAGCTCACTGATCAGTTTTGCATTTTTGTTTTGGAGGGGACTCTGTCTTAAACTTGGACCAACTCATATCTAAAACAATGGAAATGGAAATGCTCTACATCGCCTGAAGATTTGGTTTAGTTACAGAAAAGAAGCTTACAGGAGTTTACATTACAAAGTAAGTTTATGCCTCATAAAACTGGGAACATAAAAGCATAGTTTATATTCAATTAGATGAGTTCCAATCCAAATATGCATAATGCTTTTTTTACACAGAAGTTGTAAGACTGCATTTACCATTAGGTAGGTGAATTGGAAGCGTTAATGAATGAAAGGGCAAAGCAAATGAGATGATAGGGGCCACTACCATCACAGTTTCCAGCTTTCCACAGAAGAAGATGCCATGTTCAGATTTTTGTTTGCTCTTGAGTGGTTTGTTCATTGCTGTTATTGAATATAGATACTCATAGGCTGACTTGACTTGACTTTTTAATTTATTTTATGGTAAAAAAAATGGCCAACACATGTCTTTAAATCATGTTAACATCTTAATGAGACTTTTTAGGTTAGGAGGGAAAAAGGCTGTTGGGAAGGTTGCTATTGGTGTACCAACAATCTTGGATATCCAAAATGCACAGCTAACAAGAGAATACTATATTTCATTGTGTTTTCTTCAAAATTCCCTCAAAAGACTTTGGTTGGCACTGGGCCTAAAATGCAAACTGTGTTTAAAAGTGGTCCTCAAAAGACTTAACAGGTGTTTCAGGGCCCATGGGGAGAAGCAAGATTTTTCATGCTTCACAACACCACCCTTTTGGCCACTTCTTGAGCTAGCTGAGTGGTGCTGGCTGTGGGGAACTCCCTGTTTCCCCGCCAGATCTCTACTTGCATGGTTCAGCCCTATGCAATCAGAGTGCCAGCAAAACAGTCAGCTCCCCAAGCACAGCTGCCAGTGTTGGGTGAGGTGCCAAAAGAAGCAGATGGGGATGGGGTCTCTGATCCCATGCAAACCCATACTTCTCTGGCCACCCCTCCCAGCCTGGGAGAAGTAGTAGGAGAAGTGGCAGGAGACAAAAGGAATGGGGGTGGGAAATACCGACCAGGTCTCCTATCCCATAGTGTAGCTCCATGTAACTGAAGAATTGGAGAAGAAAAAGGAATCTGCTTCCAGCTCCTAGAGGGGTGGAGGTGAGGTGGAGAGAGATGGCTATTTTGTACAGGGGGAAATCCCAGTTGGAAAGAACTGGTATCTGCTGGTACCAAAAGCAAAACAGACCTGGAAAACAGTGTCCAGGCACCAGAAGAAAGGAAGCATACTCACAACCGCCTATAATGGCCAATGGGAGCTGAGAAGATTTCAGCCCCTTACTGCATCATTGACCATATTGTTGACGAGATTTTGATCATTTATACAGCAAGGTATGTGCCGGAGAAGAGGGAAAACATCACTTTAACACCAGAAAGACAAATCTAAACTGCTTCCATGGCAACCTGGGGATGAGACAAAGGTGATGTCATATCCTTCATTACTATGTCCTTTATGCTATGGTTAGTGGAATGTGAGAATGAGCCCATAGATTCAGAAGATGAAGTCAATGGCATGGCAAGAACCGAGTGATTTGGAAAGCCATAACACTCTGCTCAGCACATAAAAAGTTCACATAATCTTTAATTCATGTATGAACTTCACTATTGTAGATTACTGCAAATCCACTCTCAACACTCTGATGAGAGATGAAAATATGCTATCAGTGATGATAAACCAGGCAAGCTAGAAACAGATCTGCTTTCTTAGAGTTCATGAATACTAGATGATGAAAATAAACAAATAAACCCATATATATTTTTAATCAAAGAAATAATAAGGCCTGGGCATTTCCATCTCCCCTATTTGTCTGTGATTCAGCTGTCTACTTTAGAAAGAGGACTTGAGGTCAACACTGCTGACCTCTTAGCATCTGTTTTTCCCATAGACTGAGACTCACCCTGTTAAACTGAATGGCAGCTACAGCTGAAGAAACCGACTCATAGAAGACAGCATTCTCTGATTCTAGCTTTCCACTGAGTTTCAGGGCCTTTTTCAAAGAAGCTGTAGTAAGAGAAGGTGGCTTTGTAAAAGAGGAGCAGGGACACCAAAAATCAAGCATAATTCATAAAAGTTATCTTCATTGAAAATTGATACTTGCCTTTGCAGTTGGCCAGAAAAACATCTATATTATTTTTTTGAGCATCCATGTAGATCTAAAAGAGAGCAAATATTAACATATATTATTGAGGAATATGAAGCATCATCTTTTAAACAGTATTACGTAAACTAATAAAAAAGTAGAAGAGAAGTACAGCTACAATGTTAATAAATAACATTAATTAATAAAATTAATTCTTATGCCAAGATAGACAAAAGAATCAGAACATAAGCCAAAACCCCAATCTTTATATTTTTCTAAATTATTACTGTGATCTAGCGGCATCAAGTCTGATTTACCTTAGTTTCCCAACTCATATCTTAATGAGATAAGATTAGGAATAGAAATTTCTAGTCTAATTATACAAAAAAAATCAACATATAATACTTTGTTTACATATAATACATTGTTTACATATGATAAACATGTTATATGTTTTGTTTTGATACACACACACACACACACACACA